AGGGGAACAAAAGAGTGAGTGCCGAGTACCACGTGACACAACAGCAAAGTGCGCGATTTTCAAGAGAGCTGCAGTCACTCCGTTTGGGACATATGACAAAGAATCATGAGGATGAGAGACGACACGACGATAATCACTCGCGCCGATGTTTATACGCACGAGATGCCGAGCACGTCCGACAGGTGAGTGTACAACGTGCGTGCGTGTTCCACGAGTATATCATATGGACCGGCTGTGTGCATGTGTGTGTGTGTGTGTGTGTGTGTGTGTGTGCGTATATATGTATGTGTGCAAGCGTGCGTGATGTTACGCGTTCGTTACGTCGAGGTTACGAAGAGACTCCCCGGCACATACACGTTAGTCAAACTGTCATTACACGTTTACGTGGTCGTCCTCGTCGAGGAAAAGCGGCGAATAAACCGATCTGAAAAAAAGTGAATTGAAACAAAACGCGTTGTGTTTGTTAACAAACATTAATTTGATAATTAATGTTGTTTAAGCCAACAGGTGTTTCTCTCGTGTTTTTCGTTCTCTCTCTCTCTGAAAAATTCGCAACGAGCGCTTCGTTAAGTGGTCCGAGCCGGCGCGAGATAAAACAAATTATAATTCGTAATTGCGTCGGTGACTGAACTTGCTCTCTATCTCTTCCAAGCACAGAAGTCGCGATTCTAGCGAGCGCTCGTAAGAGTACGGGCGGTATTCGCAGCCGGAACTTATATCCGAAGGCCTTCTTCACGAGGAAATTGACCAATCGTGTGTCTAATATAAAAGACATTATTTTACTGCACAGATCATGATTGGTTGATCCCCTTATGCATATGTGATTATGTAAGTTGGTCTGGAGAGATCAGCTTTTAGATCGTCTTAATTCTGATCTGGTGCAGTGGGGTCATTTTCGACCTACTTGATTTTTAATTTTGAACTATCCGCAACTTTCTTAAAGGAATAAAGAACTTTTGGACTTCTCAACACGTTAAGTAAAATTTATGGTTATTTGAAGTAGGAAATTGAAACACTGTTGTGCTATTAAATATAATTTACAACAAAATGAAATACTCGAATAAATATTTGCAATCATTTCTGCACACTACTCTATTCTACAAACTTGAAAACGTATATTTATCATTTTTTATAGATTTTTAAAAATAAACGAGGTCCGCAATGTGCAAGATTAATGTGTGCAAGGCGTGTGTGCCGGGTTAAGTTGATCCTTAGATGTGATCCTCTGAATGTGAATTACAGACAATCCAAATATAAAATCCGACTGCGAATACCGCCCTGCAACTCGGTCTGAACGTTCTGACTTGCGATTCTTCGTCAAGCAGCTTGGAAACGCCCGCACACGGTGAAATGAGAAAAATTCGCCAAGGTGGAGTTTCGTCATCGACCGAAAACTGCTCATGCCGCGCGGCCGATACACGCTCGTTTTAGTTTTAGCGAGCGTCCGCGAGAACCCATCTCCGGTTCTGCAGGTCTAACCGAGACAATGGACAACGCACAAAAGTTTTCTGTTACGGTCTGCTTGACATTCGCGATACGGCTCGGGCCGGCCCGTTGCAACGCGGCACACACCTTTAACCGCGAAATATTCCGTTTCTCCTTTGAATGCGATATCTCGTCCTCGTTGTCCTCAGCCTCAAATGCCGGCGGTGGTGTAGTATGTCTCTGAAACGGGTACTTTGCGTAACTCGACACGTGCCATACGACGACCGAACGACGAGTATACGCGAATTTTCTACGAAACCAATATCCGTACGTGTGCGCGAACGGCGACCCACGTGCCAAAATGACGTAAGGAATTAGTGCACCGAGAAGCGCACTGCCAGCGGGATTGTCGGAATCGCATGTTAGAGTCGTTTATCTTCCGACTCGTGTTTCTCCAGCGTCTGTCGACATCCGTCTCGTGAGCTTAGTTATTTTCTTCACGACGCGCGACCAGCCAACTTCATATTCTGACTACGTCCACCAGAGAAAGCTGTTTTACAACTGTGGTAAAATTCGTGAATCCGATTGGTATATATGCTCTTACACTGAGAAAAAAAAGTGCTCGAGAGTAATGAGATTTT